AATATCCACCATCAAAACCTCAGCCATTCACTCCCACATTCACACCCCACACCCATACGCAACCCCCCCCCCACCACCACGTCCACCCACACCCACACCCACACCCATCCACACTCCACACACATTCACACTCACACACCACACCCTATATGAGTAAAGTTTTAGCAGAGGCTTAATGGATAAGAAACGAACTGATTTTGGTAAGAAGATTATTAAAAATCCAACTTTCACTTGTATTGACGGCACAAACGTACATAAATGAGTTTGCTCATTCGACTCGTCATCGTTTGTTTCTTGTTGGTGACAGAAACGAATTGTCAACGTTCTAATGAAAACCATCAGGCTCGGTCATTCATATATTCTCGCTCTCTATCGGACTGCACTGCTTGGTACAAACAACAGCCTTCGCCAACTGTATACTTGAGCAAAATATTACCAGCGCCATGTACAGTTCCGAGTACATTTCCTTTCAAGTTAATCGATGGATGGTCAGTAGATCCTGCATGCCATCCTATAATGCAACCATATACATGCAAATATCATGTAGGTGCTTGGGGTTGCTATCGACACTCTTTCGGCAAGACTGGACCGGGTGCCCAGGCTTGCTATGATAAACAAGGCAATTGGATAGCTGATCCATGGAAAGGTGCTGGAACACTCGACGCTGAAACAGCGTCGGGTTCGCTAATTCAAACACAGAAACATTACTATGCCGATGTTCTACCCTACGATAATTGCTGTAAAGGAGCCGATCTACCACAACCGAGGACATGCAATATGTATTTTGAAAAGCGACCACCAGGTGCCTGTGTACAGAAGCCAACTCTCTAATGCTAGCATCTGATTCTGCAAAACTGTACCGCGTTTAAAAAAATGAACAATAAAATAAAGTCTTACTTCTTTGGATGACATTTTCTTATTTCGTATTCGAAAGGCTTGCCAAGGATCCTAAGAAATCCAAATTTTTTGTGACTGAATAGCTAACGCAGACCTTGAAGTAGGTCCGTGTGGGTATGAATGTGGGTGTTGCTATCGGTATTCTTGTGGATTCGGCAGGGTGTAGGCGCGTGGGTTGGGGTGAGGCGGGTGTAGGTGTGGCTCAGGTGAATGTCACCGTGGGGTATAGGTGTTACTCTGCCTGTACAGAAGAATCGCACGCACACCCCTATCCATCTGAGCCGAATACCCTGCACGTCCACATCCAAACCCATCCTACAATCACTACCAAATGATAAGGATTACTTTAGCGGTAAGGGTATCATTGTGATTGTACCTGTAGTGAAGAACCATACGCACATACCTATCCCTACCCACATAATGCACCCCACATTCAAATCCACACCTCGCACTTGCACTCATCCCTCAATCATAACCAAACAATAATGATTTCTTAAGCGATAAGTGGGTGGATGTCGTTGTATCTGTAGAGAAAAACACACACAGACACTCATACCCACCCGCCGCACAGTGGGGAGCTTTCACATAAGCAGGCGGACATGCGGTTTTTTTCGTTAGGAATGGCTTTCATTTGACTACAAATGATAGTACACCACTCAGAAAATCGTTTTTAAGAAAAATAAAAGGTTTTTTAAGAAAAAAAGTTTTTTTCCAAAAAAAAGACTGGAGAGGACCTCAGCGTTTTGCTCAAAACAAAAAAATTTTTGAAAAATATCTTGAGCTACATATCATTCGGTGTAGTTTGCTGCGCTGATTTCGAATATCACCTTAATTTTTCTTCAAAGTGTAATGTGAATGCCTAAAACTGGATTTTTCGGCCAAAAACCTATGCTCGGTCATTATCCGTCCAATTCTATCAAAAATTGACTTGCACAAAAATGACTCTTTTCATATATAGTCTGATGCAGCTCAACGATTTGATTCCGAATATCACCTTATTTTTTCGTCAAAACGTAATATGAAGGTCTGAAACCGGATTTCCTACCGAAAACCATGGGTTATTGGGAATCCTGTAGATTAGCCTAGGCAATGTTTCATGCCTTGACGCTATTACCATACTTAGGATAAATATCCGGGAGCATTTCATAAAAATTTCAGCTTGATCGAACTTTACCCCTTTGTAGGGTTTTGAAAATTCGAAATACCAGTGTTTCGGGCCTGAATCTGCTTTGAAAACGGATAAAAAATACTTTAAAAAGTATTGTATATGTATGGTTCGATGCAGCTCGACGAGCTGATTCCGAATATCACCTTAGTTTTTCTTTAAAGTCTAGTACATATGTCTAAAATCGAATTTTTGCCTAGAGGCCTCGGATTTTTGGGCAGCATCTAAAACAGAGTAGGATAGGTTTCATGAGTTGACGCTACTACCATAGTTAGAATACATATCCAGAAATATATGCTAAAAATACGCGCTCGATCAGACGTGACCCCTTCGTAGGGTTTTTAACATACGGAACGGTAGGTTTTCGGGTAGAATTTAGACATAGGGATTCCTAATTTTCTACTCTACTTTAAATTGCATTACGATAATTTTTTTTCACGATAAAGTCGATAGGTGAGCAAGTTTTTTGCGATATTGTTTGCTTCTGGAATATTGTGTCGTAGTGCTCTACGGCTTGACTTTCTTGATTTGTGCTGATTTCTGGGCCTAAGCCTTGACAGACTTTTTCCTTGGGCTCTATATTACTTTGAGAACCGCTATTTTAGGAAATAATAGATCACATATGTATGCATCTACGCAAACGGTTAGATTCTGGAAAAGAGTATTTTCGCATATGTCCGCCTGGCTCCCCACTGTGCGCCGCGTCCACACCCATCTTTCAATCACAACCAAATGATAAGGATTACTTAGGGGTAATCGAAACCCCCTTTGCTTGCCTTTTATTAATTCTTATAACCACATTCCTAACACACCCATACACACACCCATGCCCAGACCCTCATCTGCACGCACATATACTCACACCCTTAGTGCAGTATGCTGATTAACAATATATTGGGACGCTCTGTCCTAATGACTGCTCTACGCTCTATCTCAGGTATTGCAAAATTCTGCTTTCGATCTCAACCAATGGCTGGTAAAACTTACCCCAACACTCGACTAAGCCGGTGATAAAGTTATTAAATATTCTTTCGTACAGTCTATTTGGAATGGAAGAAACTCGTTATCATCATCCGACAATAATATGTTTGGTAAGATTGATTCGTCTGGAGTTTGAATACTTGACATAATCTTTCTTTGAGTGGGTTAAGACGTATATTTGGCTATTTTCATGCAGAGCATACTTATGCCGGTGTATAAATTACACGCAGCATCTCTGTACCTAGATACCAATATTTTGTTGGGTTTGATTATTGTATTGAAACGGAACACAATGCACGTAATAACAGGAATAGTTGCGTCGATGCTTTTACTGATGTGTGCTTCAACATCGCCAGTTATCGACCAAGAGGCTTTGAAAGATATTTTGGAAGCAGAAGAACATTTTGTGAATTCGCTTGAATCGGCACAGCAGGAGTTGTGGGCCGAAAGTCGAAAGACATTGTTCGATTCAGTGATTACCACGGCAATCGATGCTAGTGAGAACGAAGATCAGAACGATGGTGCTGCCGACCAGACAGGAGATTTCATCAAATCATTAAATAAAAAACAACAGGAATTGTGGTCCAAGCTACGCGATAAAGCTACTAAAATCGTTCAAAAGTACATGGTTTCTCATGGAATACTCCCTACAAATGGAGTAAGTAGTCGCGGTAGGTGTGGAGGAGGATGTATACTCTCCTCGCAATGTGTATCATGGGCTGGTCATAGGGATTGTCGCTGTACCTGGTTTACATGTGGTTGGGTTTGAGAATATGTTCGTACAATAGCCTGAAATATATCGGACAACATCAAGTTTTCATGTATTCCAAGATTTTTCTATCAAGTGTGTGCTTAGTTTTCAATAAATAATGGGAGAAAAGCGTTCATGACTGATCTATCATCCTGAGGCATTATAGGAAAACAAACAATAACCGAAACTGGTTTTGTTTTCTTCAAAATTTACAGGAGCTACTTCATAACATGCAAAGCTGCTGACATGAAATTTCATTAACTAGAAAACTCTAGATTCACTTAAAATACTAGTGTGAAGTAAACGACTTCTACGTCATACTGATCTGAGTTCTCGCTAGCATCGATTGCGGTGGTAATCACTGANTCATGCGACAAATTAAACCAAATATCGAAAGCCTCTTTTCGTAAAGTTTCGTTCACACCACATGCCATACTATTACCTATGAAAGGCACTACAGTAAGAATACCAGTTAAATTGGGCCACTCATGTTGTTCGAATATATTGAAATCAATCTGAAGATAGCAGCAGTGTTACAATAGAAATTAAAATGAATTAATGAAGCTATGATGATCAAAAGATACAAAATAAGTCGTTAGTGTCATCAGAAATGCATATTTGTCGGTAGGTTTTTCTTTTTATGATGGTTTAATTTCTCACAGAACATGGATGAAACTTTGAAAATTAAAATATCTTTTCATTTACCTTATTTGTGGTTATCCATACATAGTTTTCACCGAGAAGGCGTGCATGAAGAGCATGTTGAATAATTCTTGTAGATGAACTATGATTAGCCCAGATTAGTACAATACGAGATCGACTTTTTTCTAAGGTTTGCTTTAAATTAGCTTGAAATTTATCAACTCGTGGATCAAATACTAATCGCTCTTGAATTGTCAAATTTGCATAATGAACTTCTGATAAGAGTTTCAATCCACCATAACCATAATCATCATTTCCAATAATTATTGAACAAGTTGTCCATGAAAAATATTTGAACAATTTCACAATTGCTTCAGCTGCAAGAATATCCGAAGGAATAGTACGATAGAATGTTGGATAATTTAATTTGTCATCAAGATCAGCATTAGTTGCGGTGTAAGAAACAAGTGGTAAACCAATACGCGCCGCAAATGGACCAAGATAGCGCGTACTTGTGGAACTTGTTGGTCCGACGACACCTAAAACATCGTGTTCATTTATATTAGAAATTGATTGGCAGACAAGCTCAAGTTCAGCAAATCCATTACTAATTGTATTTGTCGGAAGAATAGTGCCTTTGATAGGCTGACCATTCACATAGACCTTGTAGCGTTCGGCAAGAATAATAGCTGTATCAAACATTTTCATGGATTGAGTTGTCCAGTCGGAATATTCATTTGCATTCAGATATCCAGAAGTTTTATAGTGATATTCAGGAAAAAGACCAAGAATTTGAACAGTATTCAAAGAATAAGGAGATTGAATACAACAGATAAATAAAACCAGAAAACGCCACATAATTATTCCAAGAGAATCGAATGATATGAAAGAATCGTTTTGAACAGATTTTCAATACAAAATCATGAATGTTTGTTTTTTATTTTCTGAACAGATGGAAGTCCTATGACACTATTGGAAAAATCATAATTTAAATAATGATAATGAAAAAAATATATTAATAATGAGCTTTTTGCTCTTATCTTTTTCATGATTTATCACTTGTAATTATTTTCCATTTGCGTATTGTCTGACGTTATCAGACACACGATTGTTAACCTACTTGCGCATTTAAATAATCTGTGTGCAAAAAAACAATTTCAGATAATATACGATAGAATCATCTTGATGATTTCTATTGAAAAAGATCTTCTATCTACGTTAATAACTTTCTATCATGGTGATAATTCAGAGAAAATTGTAAAACCTTTGAAATCAAATAGCTATGAAAATTTTTATGAGAATAAATATTTCCTTTCTAATAACTATCAACAAAATATGTTTTTTCGATCGAGAGTCAGATGATCACATTCCATATCTGTTCATCATTTTCAAATGGAAGAAGAAAATAAAAGAATATTCATGTCATTATAAGAAGATTTCTATTTCGATAAAACCAATATGGAACGGGGTGTGGGTGCGAGTGTGAATGTTGGTGGATGTCAGTATGGGTGTAGGTTTGAGGGTGTGTGAAAGAGTACTTTTGAACCACACCCACATCCCTAAGTAAAACAATATAAAATTTCACGAAATATTATTCTTAATAATTTTTAAAGATCTTCTCATTATTTTAGACGAAAATTGTATTTTGACTACATTCACAAATTTAAAATATTTAAAATTTGATTCATCTTCAATTGCTTGTCTACGATTATCAGTTTATATTTCATCTTCATTTATTATTTCATCAAATTTATTAGAATTACATGTCGATTTAGAATGTTTTACTGATTGTCTTCATCTATGTGATGGAGGTTTTAATCGGCTTCATACGCTTTATGTTAATATTTCATGAATTCAATCTTCAAATCTAATAATTAATAATGCATGCAGTAGATTAGTTTTTAATATTACGTTTATTTAAAAAGAAAATTAAAATGTTTTTCACTTTTCTTTGATAATGATACATATGATTATGATGAATTAATTTTACCACTTTTACATCGAATGTCAAATTTAGAGAAACTTTATTTATATCCTCTTGTCTATGGAAGAGAAACATTTATTGATGGTAATGAAATGAAGTTAAATATTATTAATCATATGCCAAATTTAAATACATTTACATTTAATATTTATTCATTTATTCATTTTAATTATCAAATGATGATATTCAAAACACATTCAAAAGTTTTAAATATAATAAAATTATTTCTTGTGTCGATTATTTTTCAAAAGCAAAACTAGGTCAATGTCATATTTATTCATATCCATATGAATTAGAACATTATCATACTATAGCAAATAATTTTCCAGGTGAAATATTCAATTGTGTTCGTAAAATATTATTATTTAATAAACGACCATTTGAACATGAATTTTTTCTTTGTATTTCTCAATCATTTCCAATTTAAAAAAAATAAACTGTAGTCAATCGAAAACGTTAAAATAATAAATCATTTCGAACACCAAAAAATGGCAATAAAAATTTATTGATCATTCAATATCCTTATCGTACTGAACTTGATCTTACTGCTGTTCATATTGATTATGTTAAACAATTTTTATTTGATATTAAAATATGTTTATCAAATAATGTTTTTTCTCTTTATCGATAATCAACTAAAGAAAAAAGCAAAACGAAATTTTAGAAGAAATACAACAGGAAGTAACTGTGTCAAACTCAATTATATTTTATTTTATAGAAAATTAACATTTCCTGAACATTTTTACATGATTATTTTCCTTATAAACTCCCCCCCCCCCCCAGAATAGAAGACCACCCCATATTAGAAGGCCACCCCCATTAGAAGGCCACCCTGAGTCATATCTGCAAAAGTCATATTAGAAGGCCACGACTTTCTAATAAAATGTTTGGATATTACATAAATTTGCGGTGGGAGTTTTATAAATATCTTAGCATTTTGAGAGATCATGCATGATATCCAGCGCATTCCTGTTGGGTTTTACTATAAATTTATAGTGATATGTTCACTTTCCAAAAGCAGTCAAAACCAAACAAAGTTTAATATATCTACTTGAGCACATCAATCTTTTTGCTTTGGTACGATTATATATCTTTTGAATACATACAAAAACTTTTTATT